GCTAATCGGGTAGAGTCGATTAGTATATCAGTAGGTAGACCGTGAAGATTAACAGTGCGTTGATTAATGAGACCGGTAATTAATTGCTCTTCTATCTCACGGATCCTACCGGAAAAGAGAAACCCGCCGCGAATCCTTGTACTTCTATCGGGAAGCAGCGTTAATTACCGTGGTAAAATTACTGATATCATCTGAGTAATCCGGTTAAAACACCGCCGGCTACTGCACAGCAAATTATTTCCACCGGAAGCCTCAGCACTTCGCAGTTGTCGTTCTAACGCTTTCCGCCATTTTTATTCCCAGAACGGACAACGTCTCTTAACTCGTTAACCACCGTGTTCCTTTAAACGACTATGACTTACGAGATTCGCGTGACACACGTTCCCTTCGCGTAGACAAAATTGGGCATCTCGAAAACGCTTTGCAAACAATCCACCTGACTACGTGACTACTACGTGGCGTAATTGGGATTGTAAATGGAAGGATAATTGTTGTAGTTTCTCTAATGAAATTACAGCGTTTATTAATACACGCAGGAAACTATCCGTATACCGTTGTATAGCAACGAAATATGTAAAGTTTATCATGGAAAATACAAATATACTTATACAGATATAAAAGAATACGTGTGTCATGAGTTACAATAATGCCCTCCGTACTGTACCGCGTTTAACTAAACCTGAAACCCTTCTGCCTATTAAGAGAGGTCACAGAGACCAAAAAATCACTATTAGCCTGCAACATACCTGACACCATCGTTGCAAGCCTACGGTTTATTGCAACAATAATTGACAGCGGTTAGGTAGTAAACGGTGATAATTAACAGCGGAGACTTGTCATATCGGAAGAGTACAAAAGACGAGAGAATTTAAGACGAGCCATCCTTATCTCGCTCAACAGCAGAGGTAAAGGACTAGCGGATAAGATAAGGACGTATCGCGAAGGATAAACAGTGGCCCGTGACAATGGTAGCCGTGCACCCCGGAGCTTCCGGTTTCGCCCATGAAAATAAAGCGTCCCGTGCACTCCTGCGCCACGTCAAGATAACGGCACATTCGTGAACGAGTTCTTATCGCGAGGCTGGAATCGGGAACGAAACAGAGGGGAGAAAAAAGTGGCCGGCCAGGCTGGAGGAAAATCGACCGGGCCACCTTGTCTTTGAGCGTTCATCCTCGGTGATCGCGATGTCGATTAATTAAGGGCAGAATCGCGTGACCGGAAGCGAATGAGAACCGCTCCGAGCGATCTACGTAGGCGTAGTCCCGTGTTTCCAGTTTGTACCACGGCTCCGCCGTAATGCTGTCACCGATAAGAAAAAGCTTTCGGAATATCTACTACCTGGTGGTATTACGATAACGCGGCATATTTCGTTTCTATCCGAAGGTGAGGAAATCGATCGAGTCCTATTCGGATCGAACGTAATAAGAAAATGAGCTGGGAATTTCAAGTCGAACCTCTACCGTAGATTACGTAACGAATATGAGTTAATTTATCTTAGAGAGAACCGTGGAAACGGAGAAATTTGATACGTAATAGTTGGGTTATAGGGTGGAGATAGTTGAGGTTAGTTTCCGTAGAGGCGTGCTTTGATTTTGATCCGGCCGGAAAACGACGGTGGGAAAGGAGGGAAACGCGAAGTTTCGATTACATGCGCTCTAAGTTTCGCAGGGCATGCGCCATTAACTGGCAGCCGGCCGAAAACACATAAGAGGGAGGATCGATGGGTTATCGCGCAAGAAAAATTCGCTGAACGCGCAACACTCGTTCTGCGCGATATTTTTCACTGGCACTCGCCGGTCGACGTACGAGAGAAGGGGGAGATGGAAATTGCTCTCGATAAAACACGCTTCCTATTATTTTTGTGTTTCTTTAAACGACCGTCAAAAGAATTTTTATTGCGACACAATGCGGCACTCGAAGAGAAATTTATCTCTTGTGTCCCGGTTGAATGCTCGCAGACGGTGCATTTCAGTTCGTTTATGCGCGTAGAATAGGACTTACAGCGTGACACGCAAGAAGCCGCCACCCCTATTTAATTCCATATTACCCTTCCTGAAAGGGAAAAAAAGGATTCGAGATCCGGTTCGAGGTCGATTCCCTCGACTTACGCGCTCAAGGTTGGAGCGTGTGACACGACCATTAAAACACAATAGATCATTTCGAACCGGCAGAGCTGCTCGTATATAATTAATTTCATAGAAATGTACGCGGGAATCTGCAATCGACTTCCCCCGTGCGCACGCGTGGCTCTCGTAGAAACTCGAAACTTCCACACGCCGTTCTCGTTTCTAACCTATCGGCGGCTTGAATTTTCGATACGTTGCCGACGTCTACTGACACCAGCGCCACTAACCCGTTTCATCCTGCGCGCGTAATCTCGTGTACATAATTACGGTATTACGCGTACACGGTGGTCCCGATCGTTCCAGCGGATTGAATTCTTCTTCCGTTCGCTTGTTACATGATCGGCTATCGAAGCGCGACGAGAGCTATTTCTTATTGCAACGTAACACCAGCGCCTCTATGTACGTTTTAATCCGACGAATAATCTCGGCGACGTGTACAGATATTGCCTATGGTAATACAGCTGTTAACGTCACACCTTCTCGTTCACTAATTACCTAATCTCCTTGCGGTAAACGTAACGCGTAGGTAACCTAGAATCTTTCGCACGGATGCCATGCTGTTAATCCGTACCCGGGAAATTCGAACGAATCGCACGAGTATATATATACACAATGGCCGCCGCTGGCGGTGCGCGGCAATTGGGAGCGCGAGAGCAATCTGCAGGTCAACTTGCTAGGAAATTCGTTTAATAGGGAGGAACGAGACAAGGTGCCGCTACGATTGGTCGAGGACGATTCCATTGGTGTTTCTTTGTGCGCCGAGCATGGCCAGACGGCCAATCAGTTTAAATAGAACCGACCAATTTTTTTCTTCGCCGACAGCCAGTGACATCTCGTTTCTTTTCTTTCGCGTACGAATTCGAAACGAATCGCTGCAAGCGTGGCGAACCGCTGATGCATCAGAATTTCCTCGGACATGAATTGCGTAACATCGAGATCGCAAACCGAACGCGCGAACCGAAATTATTCGCACATTGTGACCTTGCTTCTGGTGAAATTAATCTCCCGGTAATGGGTTATCGAGCAGTGATTATGTAATTTCCTCGACGACGAGATCGATAGACGTTGCTCCCTTTTTCCCTTTTTTCCTTTCTTTTTCTTCTTTTTTTTCCTCTTCCTGTTCTCGAGATGATAGGAAGGCGAAGAATGCCGTTGCATCGGCGCTTGCCTCTCCTCCCCAAGGTTGTCGAGGACAGATGCGCGCAAAAAGGAGAAGGTGACGAGAAAAAACGACGCGGAGTACGAGAGAGCGTCGCGAATTCGCAAACACGTTTTCAAGAAGAGCCACCGTGGCGAGGTTGGTGAGAGCGATCGATAAATTTAATTATGTACAACGACAGTTCTTTCCCCGGCTGCTAGAATTCCTCGCGAACAATTGCCAGTCTCATACGATCGAAAAACGATGCCACTGGTCACATCATTAACGTCGTAGATAATGATAAGATAACGAAAGGTGGATAATGTAAACACACTCAAGAAACCCGACTCGACGCGATCACTGCCCCAGTCGGTTACATCATTTCCAAACACTTTTGTCGGCGATCTCGTAATTACACAGGGAAACGTGACTCGAAACAACGGGGAAGGAAAAAGAACGTAATTGACTATAACGGAATTCGATATCACGGGTAAAGTTTGTCTTTGAAAGCGTACCCGGCTTACCGTGACATGTCTGACACGGAATTCGTATCGATGATACTTTAATTTGATGCGCGCATCGATATTCGTCGCGATTACGCAATCTTGCAACACCGATCGCACGGATTTCTTTGGCAAGTAAAGAACGAACACGCGAAGAAAACCTATGAGCGTAGAGATCGAAATGAAATCGTCTACGTCACGTATAAATGATTGCATACGGTATCCGGTTTTATTTACACCAGACGCATCTGCGTATAGTTAGGCGTTTGAGTGAAAGTTCGTGGATAATATCGAAGAATTAAAAGTCAAAACAAATCGCGAACAGTATAACGTATTCTTGGGGCTACCGTGCACATTTTCATCCCGACAGATCTCGTATGCGACCTGCGTAGGAATATCTGGAAAGATGGAAGGAAGAAGGAAGTCCTTCCTTTCGCACAACGATTATCTAAGGCATCCTATGTGTCATCCGACAGCAGTATTTTATGTAACACGATTCGTGTAATCGCGATCCTCTTTCGCCGGCGTAACTAACACACAGGGAGGCTCAAAGATGGCCTCTTCTGTCGTTCGCTTATCAAATTTTACTATGCATTATTTAAAAGCCGAGATCTTATTTTTGCCACATTCTTTTTAATCGTTTGTTCAGAAATAGAATAGAGAATAATTATTGGTACTTACGATAACGACAAATCCCGTAATATTCCAGTGAGCTGCTACGAAAGCACTCCTGTATCAACGACAAATCCACCACCTGATCCCAAACTTTCGAGATTGGGACACACGTTTCACTAACCAGATCAACTGTACACTTGATTACTTTAACGAAGAATGAACAGACGTTCGGTGTGCGATTCGAAGATGATAAAGACACTGTGTCAAAAGGAAGATTGTAAACAATACGTGAAACACCCGGGTCATCCGCAAATTCGATCGGTCGCGATCAGTTGTCGTAAACACTGGCCGCCATGCTCCCTCAGCACCTGTCAATATCAGCGTATATCGCCGCCATCTTGCGGCGATCACATCGATTGCGAATACTAGCGCTATCTACCGGCGTTCGTGTATAATATCACGTCTAAACTGTATTACCTACTGTTGTTCACTCTAGTTAGTAAATTCCCGATAAGATTTCGTTCAGTAATTGCATCATTTTTTACCTTAAAATATACGTATATAGTTTATTATTGACATTTGAAGCATGTATGTTAGTATCGATACAAAAAGGATTGTCGCATGTTTCATAATAAATAAAAAGATACGATGATAAGAATAATTATAGTATGAACACACATCACATGTCAGAAAGAGAGATATACATATAATAGCTAAATATTTCCTTACAATTAGAATAAGGATACGTCCTGGAACTATTCGTGTTACCGTAGCAGTAGCGATAAACAAAATGATGCAAGGATGATACGATAATCAATAATAATACTACAATAAATAAGAATGAGTTTACCGGCGAGTAATGTGCGAAGATATCGAAGGAGTTACACGAACGCACGATCGATCTAGCGTCGCGAAATTCGTGTTATGATATTTGTATCACGCAAAGATGTCGTCACGTCGTGTCGTTATTAATCCAAGAAGAAAAAATGTAAAATAAATATGGAGACTTGGTAATCCGTTGACACTTGCGCGTGTGATTGATAAAAATGTCAAGCACGTACCATGAAAATTGGCTGTTGCCTATAAACTACAGTCTTGGTCCAATCGAACGGACGATTCGTGCGAGAATTAATGAGTGGTTTGGCAGTCTCGATACGATCGATTACGGAAATGATAATACGAATCTCGTTGTCATCGACTAATAGATATCGCGAATCGATTTAGGCATTCGACTAACGAGATACTCGTTCCGTGCAATATTTGTTTCTTGGAAAGACACGTAGTATTAAAATTCCGCAAATATTCAGGAAATTTATCGAATTCCATTTCAAGACGAACAAATATACGATCGAACTGTAAAGATCGATATTTTCTCTCGATCAATTTCTTCGATCATCGTAAGATTATCTTTTGAGAAGATCAATCGTCCCGTAAGAACATGATTCGATCGTTTTTCAAATCGATCTACGCGAGTCGTCTCGAAATTATCAACTTTGGAAAAATATTTTTTTAGAGAAAAATTTTGACGAGGATAAAATTTGATCAATCTAATACAGGTAATTCTTAGGTTCTTCAGTCGGTTGGCCGCATACTCCATGGTACTTCTTCGTAACTATGCTTCGACTGCGGCAGTTCTCTATTTCCAAGAAACATTCGTTGCTGTAGGTCATGCCATCGGTACCGCAAACTGGATCGTAGTAGGGTGGACAAATCTTTTGGCAACCGCGGAATAAGAAACCTTGCACGCATCTCTTCATGGGTACCACGTACACGTGTTTCCTGAACAAAATATTACGAAAAAATTTCATTTCCTCCATTTATAGCACTTATTTCACTCTGTCGTATTAATACGCTAACTGAGCTATCCAGATGATTATCGAAGTACGTAAACTACAGAGGAGATACAATTTCAAACCCGATTACTACTTACCCACAATTGTCCCTCTTCATCTCGCATTCGTTGCGATAAAGCTTGTTGTCGGAACCGCAAACAAATTGACGTTCTCCACTACAGATCTGGTTGCAAAGCGCGGTAGTACGACAGTGTTGCGCTGGAACTTGAACCACCCTCTGACCGCATGTCTCACGCTGCAGATGGCAAAGGGATCTAAACGCATACGAGTACACGTATAACGTATTTGTAAACATAGATTTCCCCAACAAGGAATAATGGACGTCGAGACTTTCTGGAAACGACCTTCGAAATGGCCTAACGCTAGTGATAAAAAGTAATTATTAGCGAGAAAAATTCGCGATAGATAGTTGCAAAGCAGAAAATATCTACGAATAAGTGAACTATTCGGTTGTATGAATGGCACTATCGGAAAGGGGACTCGAATGTCCATCTACCCAACGAACAGCCATTTGTGATTCACACGCCCCTAAAACTCTCGGCGCCGAACGTCCTGGAATCCAAATAACGCTCTTAATCACCGGTAAACGTTGCCGTCGCTTCCACAAACTGGTTCCTCGGGTACCTCGCTGCAATCTTCGGGGCACTGTTCGGTCTCCTTCAAGGTCGTGCACTCTCCGACGTGAGCCAATTGAATGCCCTTTCTGAAAGGCAACGGTAACGACAGGGATCAATGACTGATCAATCCATAATTAACGACCGATGTAACTAATATGCATAATGTGAGACGTTTAGCAGCAACTGCTTCCCGTTATGATAATTACTTGTCCTTCCACGGTTAATTTTCTTTGAATAGATGTTCAAGGGAACATCGCAGGAA